GCTCATGGAATGGAAGAATTAATATTGTTAGAATGTCCATACTATCCAAAGCAATCTACAGATTCAGTTCAATCCCTGTTAAAATACCAACAGCATTTTCTGCAAAACTAGAAAAAATAATCCTAAAATATGTATGGAACCACAAAAGAACCCCAAAGCAGCCTTGAGAAAGAAGAACAAAACTGAAGGTATCACATTCCCGGATTTCAAGATAATTACAAAGTTGTAGCCATCAAAACAGTATGGCACAAAACAGACATGGATCAATGCAACAGAAGAGAGAGCCAAGAAATAAACTCACACTTATATGGTCAATTAACCTATGACAAAGGAGACGAAGATATACAGTGGGGAAAAGAGAGTCTGTAGGTGTACATGGGGTTGTGCAAAAAGTTCCACTTGCTCATCTGAGTTGAGATGAATCTCCTTAAACCACCTTCTTGTCTAAATTTGAACCCAACTCCACGGGAGGAATGGACAGGAAATGGACAAAATGACCCTGAAGTAGGAGACAGACTCCTGGCACAGGAGGTAAGGCACAGGGAGGCTGGCAGATGCAACTCAAAGACTAGGTGTTCTCACTACACAGTGGGGAATCTCCTAAGCATTCAGTCTATTCCTAGGAATATGTTTTAGGCTCAGACTTCCTAGGGTTTACCCTCCTCAGGTTGTGTTCATCCCCTTGAGGCTAGTCCTCCAGGTACATTTGGTTGAGGATGTACTGGAAAGAAAGGAATCCTGGGAAACAGAAGGAGAAAGAGAAAAAAATCAGAAAGTCACCAAGATATGAAGACCTCATGAAGTGGAGACAAAAAGAGGAATGGATTCCAACAAGCAGTCTCCAATTGTCAGTCTCTATTTGTTATATACTGGGTTCAGAACAGTGTGGAGCCAAAGGAAACCGAAGGTATGGTCCATGCTCTTTAGAGAACTATCATTTTAATGAGTACCTGTTTCGTACTAGCCACTGCACTGATCTCTTTGCCCAAATTACCATATTGCATGCTTCCCATACTGTCCATCCTGCCAACCTGCTTGCCTAGTCATGCTTGTCCAACCAATGTAAATCTATCATCTACCTACTTGAAGTCACTTTCCATCCAAATTCACCCTTCCATCTAAATATGGCCCACATCCTAAACCTCCACTGGCCCCTGACCCTGCTCCTCTCCCCCACACGTCCAAGGCCTTATCCTCCTACCTACCATTAGCCCAGACTCACTTTTCTCCTTTCCCAAATCACCACACCCTTCTTCTTTCCAAATATTTGACCCCAGCTACAGAAATAAATCTCTCCCTCCTATAATCAGATCTCATTATCTTAAAATACTCACAGGATCTAACTCTCCCATGTGATAGCTCTTCACCATCCCAAATAGAGGCATCCTAGGAAGGTGCGGAATTTCCCACCTCATCTTCTCATGAATCCTGCTACTTATAAATGAATTCCTTTCACACAATCCATCTCTCCTTCTACACAAAGGCTACTTCTAGGGCTCCAAATAAAATACAGGATGCCCAGTTTAATTTGAATTTCTAATAAACAATGAATCATTTTTTAGTATATGTAACCCCATGTAAAAAAGCTTAAAAATACATTATCTAAAATTCAAATAGGACTAAGCTCCCTGTATTTTTTTTTTTCTTTCTAAATCTGGCAACCCTAGATATCACACACTTTCCTTGGGACTGATGTGGCATCTCATTTTCTAGTGTCTCATCTCAGAAAAAGGTCTCAGACTGATGAAATGTGTCTGTCCAGGGTTGTAGGTCACAATTTCTAACCATTCAACCTTACTCACAATGGTTGTCCTTTAGCCTTCATCTCAATCCCCAAATCCAGATACTCTTTAGAACCAAAGCAAACAGATGGGGACCCCTTACCCGAAATGAATTCCCAGATGGCAAAAACAGCTGACTCCGAGGGAAAAAGAGGAAAGTTCTGTAAGGATGCTACCAAAATGAGGCATAAGAAGGAGAGTTCAATGGCAACGACAATAAAACATCAGCCATAAATATTCTGAGGAGTAAGTGGGAATTCCAGCTTGGGACAGGGGTCAATTCTTTTAGCTTCCAAACTCCCATACTATCCCCCCCCTCCACCTGCCCTGCTCATACTTACATACTGTCAAGAGAGGAGGAGCAGAGCTGAGAGAGAACTCAGAGAGAGCCAGGTGAACTCAGGGACAGGATGCTGGAGGACTCAGAGAAGATGAAGAAGGTAGAGAAAATGGAGGAGTTTGAGTTCTGGGATGAGAGGAGTTCAGTAAGGGTGAGATCTCAGTCTGAGCCTCTTGGGTTGCTGGCATTTACCTGGAGGTAAATCTGCCTGGAGGCCTGCATTTCCTAGAGTCTTCCTACTATCCCAATATAAGGTCTGGATCAGGACCACCCACCTCATAGAAAACCTGGCCTACAATAAAGTAACCACTCCCTACAGTTGTCACTGGGTCCTGCTTACCCTTTGCACCAGAAGAAAGTCAAGGGCTTCCTTCAAAACAGATGTCCCAGACCCTGCTGAATGTCAGCTTTTCAAGGAACATGACAGGTACCCAATCTAAGGACATATACGTCTATTTCATCAAGAAGGTGGCCATGAAGTTGAGGGCCAAGACAGAAACTTGAGGTTTCTTGAGTTCTTGGGAAAGACGCATGTTCTGGTGAAGATGGAATGGATGGAGCCACTATCGGCATAAGACAAGATGTGCTTAGGAATATCCCTCTGCTATTTCTCCCCTCCAGACTTAAGTTAACTCCTCCCACTTGAGCTCTTTTGAAAGGAGACTTTGGATATGGCCAAATCTCCAGTTGCTTTCTGTCAGGTTGCCCAAAGAAAGTTCTGTCCTCCACATATAATCCACTCCCTCCCTATGTACTAGATCCTGCATACTACCAACTTTATTTCTTGTTACTTCGTTATTCCAAAAGCTGATTCTAGGTTTTTGTTTTGTTTCATTTTAACCTCTTACCCCTCTTACTCAGTGGATATCATTATTTCTTCCTCTTCCCTTGCTGCAAGGGAATTAATTCTTATTCCACTGTCCATTTACTTAATTATTTGAGGTTCTAGTTCTATGGAAGAAGACAAATACACATATACAACATGTCAGGGGGAGCATTCTCCGTACAACTGTCGTGCTGAAAATAAAGAGACCACTTTATTCAATCCAGTACTTCCTACATTTACTTGACAAAACAACCATTTATGTGACCTCCCCTCCCTTTCCTTCACCCCCATCCCCATGTGATATCCATACTCATCTTCTTCTATTGGAATAGAATTTGCAAGTAGGTGTGGCTATGAGATTAAGGTCTACCCACTGAGATGCAGGTGGGCTGCCTGGCCTGTGGCTTTTTGGAGACTTCCTTTAATAAGAGCTGGCACGTGCCCTTTGCCTTTTCTTGTCTCTTCCTCCATCTTTCTGTCTGAAACCTGAAGGTGATGATTAGAAATCTACCTACCAGATAAGAGATGAGGGTCTATGAACAGGAAGGAACGCAGGTTCCCTGCAGACGTTGCAGAGCAAGGCCATCACCACAACCACGGACTACCTACCTCCTCCTTTAGTAAAGTTTCCTCTGATCCCCCCAAGCAGAAACACCCACTTCCTCCAGTGTTCTTACTGCACTTCGCACAGATCTTTCCTCTAATACATGTCTTACCAAATTAAACTAGTCTCTTATGCACAGAGATTTAGCAAATCAAAGCCCATTCTGATTAACAGGCCATAGGTATGCCACTGAGGAGGAACCCTAGCCTAACATTTTGTCACGTGGAAAAGAAAGTCACAAGTGACTGGTGTCCCTTGCCTTAGATATGACAAGGAGACTGGCAATTTGCCCCATAGAGTTGCCCCCTCTGAACTCGGCATATATCGATTTCATTTTTAACTATGATTTCTAAAGGGTAAGGAACGAATCTTTTCTTATTTTCTATTGCCAGTGCCCAGCTAGATTATGGGGTGCAAAGCGCATGACTTTTAAAGATAAAATAAGGCTGCTCAGTTAATGTTGCTAGTGAAGAGCAGCAGAGCCTCCAAGCCACATGGGCAGAAGCAGCCATGGCCTCGGGGCCTGCACACCGGCCACAGACAGCACTCCACGGGCCAGCCGGTGGCAGGGGCAGGGAAGCTGGGGTCAGCGAGGCACCCCCAGAACAAGGAACAAGCAGCAGTGGGGCCAGCGGTCACTGGGCCCAAGAGGTGGCCCCGCACAGCTGCTCTCCTCCCCTGGTGACCAGTAGGAGACTTTACAGGAGCCGTCAGTGTGCCACCAAGCTGCTGCTAGACACCATGGGAAACCAGCGCCCAGTAAGCCAAGTGGGAGGCATCCACCACGTTTGGGACTCGGCCAACTTGCTCCTCTCTGGTTGCAACCGCAGTGTCTGCAGGAAGCAGCAGAACAGACACTGCCTTGCTCAGACCTCCCAAGCCTGAAGGGAGCCAAGGGCATCAGCACACACATGTTCAGAGCGCACGGAGCCCAGCACCCCTGTCCAGCCAAATGAACAGACCCGTCAGAATCCCTAAAAGAAAGAAAGTTTTATTTGAGCCCAGCTTAGGCTGCCTGCCGGGGAAACACTCGCCACAGGGAAGAAAATGTTCTAGAGAAGGAACAGGTTTTACAGGTCAATAGCTCAAAGATTCTAGATTGGCATACAGACAGGAATGAGTTTAAATGCAAAGGAATGCCAGGAGTAGGAGCATCCATGGGTACCTCAAGGACAAGCTGGTTTTCCCTTCAGCTACTCATTTACAAAGCAGATGTACAATGTATGTGTGGAGGGGGGGCACACATTAGGCCCTTGGTTTGAACAAGTTTCTGCCCGGTCATGCTACCTTAGAAAGAAATTTAAAACAGCTTCCCGGGGTACCTGGGTGGCTCAGTGGGTTAAGCCTCTTCTTTCAGCTCAGTTCATGATTTCAGCTTCCTGGGATCGAGCCCCATGTTGGGCTCTCTACTCAGCAGGGAGCCTGCTTCCCCCGCTCTCTCTGCCTACTTGTGAACTCTCTCTCTCTGTCAAATAAGTAAATAAAATCTTTTTAAAAAATAAAATAAAAAAATAAAATGGCTTCCCATGTGTATGAGGTCTTCAGAGAGTTTTTCTCTCATCACACTTCTGTTAAGAATGGTGTCCTTCAAAGCTCTTACATGCCCTGCTCCCACCCTGGAGGCTCTGGAATCGCCCCACACCGCCTGGAGGAGGACACTGTGTGGAGTGTGGTCACTGAGGGATTCAACCACATGAACTAGGAGAAGGCCACGAAGGAGCACAGAAGCATGAAGACCATGTCTGAAGAGTGAGCTCCTTCTCCTTTCCTGAAGTTGTAATGACTGGGCCCAGCAGCTCTTCTGTCCTTGCGGCACCTCAGTGGTGCCCATGAAGGGGGCTTGTGAATGTGGACCCAGGCAGCTGGTTCCATTGGCCAGTGGCCATCTTGACCGCTGTGGTTCGTTCCAGATACTCATTTCTTCAGGTAGCTCTTTGTTCCTCCTCAGCCCAGATTTGGATGTAGGCTAATTGACAGCCGTCCTTCTCTTCCCAACTTGTGTGTGACCTGTTAGGAAAATAAATATTTTGAACAGTGAAGCAATGACTGTGGCTTAACAACAACAAAAAGATAAAATGAGAACCTCAAATTTGATACACTTGTTCATTTTCCTCTTGCTTGGGTGTATTTCAGTGAGAAGATCTGAGCTGCTCTAGGAAATCAAGAGATGAAGAACAGCAATTCTGTACTCTTGGAACTGTTGGTCCATCAACTCTGTGATTTTTTAAAATATATTGTTGGTTGTTACCTTTGGAGTAGATCAAAGAGAAAATACATTTGTGAGAATATAACCCCGCTGAATCAGGATTTTGGTGAGTGACTAAAAGAACAAATTGAAAGCCTGATGAATACGGTCCCTGTGGCTAGTTGGAATTCCTTCCTCCAAATCTTAAAAGGGTTTCTGAACAAGACCCAAGCAATGTAGATGTATTTTCATTCCTCTGATCTCAGATTCCTTCTCTGGTTAAAGGATCGATTCCCCTTAGTATCTGAGAACGCAGCCTCCCCTATCTCCTGAGTGGCCTCAGATAACCCTTTCCTGAATCTTCAACCTCTCTATTGGTATTTTTCCTTTAGCAACATATTCAACTCTCTTTCACCCTGAAGCTGTAGGCCCTATTCTCTCTAGACATCCTATGTTCTACAGTAGAGAGGGCCTTCCATTGTTCATTCTTATAGCCAAGATTCTGGAAAGAAACAATACAGCTTATGTCCCCTTCTTCCCTTTCCACCACACTCCACAGAAACTGCCCCTATTAAAGATGAAAAACTTGTTTCCTAAACTCCACAGATCCTCTTCAGAGAGGGAGTATAAGATGGTGGTTACAAGCACAGACTCAGAAAGTCAGACTGCCAGGGTTTAAATCCCCATTCTGCCACTTACCAGCAGCGTGATCTTGCACAAAACACTTCACTTCCTTCTACTTCATTTCCCTCATCCGTAAGATGGGGTTGTTGTGAGGATTAAACAGCAAAGCGTTCTTGGATGATTGAGTTAGTACATATCAGGAGCTTATAACATGCCTAGAACATAGAAATTCCCAACTGACCTCTATAATATATGACACTGCTATCATCAACCTTTTACTTGAAACTCTCCTCCCTTGGTTGTCCTGGCCCATTTTTGTTTGTTCATTTTCCTCATAATTTGCTGGCTGCTCCTTCTTATTCTTTATCCTTGTCTCCATGTTTCCCGTTTTGTTTCTCTCTATATTTTAAAATAAACTCATCTTCTGAATAAATACATAATAAAAATTAAAACTTTCTAAATAATTTTAAGTCTGGAGATAATTCAGCTATCTTATCAATGGCTTCCATTTCCTACAAGGTCCATTAATTGAAATCACATCCAAGTATCTCTTTTTTCCCATCTTCCATTCCAGTCCCAACTTCAATTCATTGCATCTATTCTTTTAAACTTCTTCTCATATTCCATCGCCTCCAGAGTGTTTTCTGAACTTTTCCCAAATGAATTTTTAGTTATGCACTCCTTCTCTATGCTCCCAGACTATAATATGTAACTTCTACCTCTATGATGCCACTCATGGCACCTGCTGTCTCCATGCTAGGGTGTGAGCCATTAGAGGAATGAGTCTGAGTCTTACCTGTCTTTAAGTTCCTAATATCCAATATGGATTCTCACGAACTGGCAGTGCTCCATAAATATTTGTTGAGTGAATGAAGCAATAAATAAAATGAGCACTCTGTCTGGGCAATGTCTCTTGAAAGAAAAGGCTGAAGATTTCACCACCTACTGAGAACTTCCTACATGCTGTGCGGGGATCAGAACCATACACTTGACTCTTATCCCAGTACTTTCCCACAATACAGTCACCATTACTGAGGTAGCCATACAAGTATACTGGTTGCAAGCACAGGTTCTGGTATCAGACTGTTCATCTTTGAGCTTCACCAGTTAGTAAATGGGTGATCTTGGGCAAGTCATTTAATCTCTGTATACACCAGTTCCCTCCTTAAACATAATACATATCAGAATTTGTCTTACAAGGTAATGAGATAACATACGTAAAGTGTTTAGAACAGGGTCTGGAACATACCACATATACAATTTAAAAATTATTATTTCAAATATTAAGACGACTCTGAATAGAGTGTTTTGGCTTTACTTCGCTTTCGTTAAAAAACTAATATGAAACTGTGGGGCACCTGGGTGGCTCAGAACGTTAAGAGACCCAGTACTGATTTCCTCTCAGGTCATGATCTCAGGGTCCTTAGATCAAACACTCCTTACCCCCCCATGTTGGGCTCCCTCTCAGGGAGAGACTGCTTGAGACTGTCTCCCTCTGCCCCTTTCCCTTCTTGCACGCTAAATAAATAAAAATCTTTTAAAAATATATGAATCTAAAATAAACTGCAGCTCCCCTGGAGAATTCCATAATTAGAAACATGATTGGCTAACCCTGAAGGCATGACTGGTGAAACCCTGATCATGTTCTCACGGCTCCCATCCCCAGTACTTGGCTCACAATCGAAGTCCCTGGCTGCGTTTCCGAGGCTTTGGTCCTTTACTTTCTTAGTATTCATCCTTCCTCTTCGCTGTCTGAGGGCTTTTTTAAAAACTTTTGTTCACTGAACAACTGAGCAGGGAAAACAGATCTCCACAGATACTTGACTCTGAAAGGAATCCCATTTCTGCTCCAACCCAGAGATTACTCTTCGTGGATTCCCGCCCAGAATCGGGACTGGGGACCCTTGCGGTGTCACGGCAGTCGTAGCCTCCGCGGCAGCTGCCTCCACCTACACACGGCCACCACTACCCCGGGTAAAGCATCTCATCAGTCTCGCGGGCCACATCGTGACCGAGCTCTTCCGCTGCGCTTCGGGATCCTCCACTTGCCCCGGATCCTTCGGGGTGTTTCTCTCAGGGTCGGCACTCGTCTTCGTGACGCTACTTCTGGCTCTCGTCCTCCTTTAACAGCTTTGAGGAAAGAGCAGAGAAGTCAGACACTGTCATATAAAAAACGTTGTTTCTTCTTAGACCAAGTGCCAATGGAGTCCACCCCTCAGCCCAGGACCCCGCAGACTCCCTCATCCCCCGCGGGCTCCGTCCCGCCCCGCCCCGCCCCGCCCCGCCCCGCCCCGCAACGCCGAAAGCCAGCAGCGCAGGCGCCCCAGGGCCCCGCCCCGTCACAGGGGCTCAGCTTCCATTGGCCCAGAGGCCGGGGGCGGGGCGCCCCAGCCTGCGAAGCAGGGGTGGTCATGTGACTCGCAGAGGCGGGGCTGCGCCGGCCGCTTCCCAGCCTGGCAGAAAGGGCTCGCGCAGCCGGCCTTGTCGGCCCTTAAAGCGCTCACTGGGCGGCCTGGCCCCAACTCCCCTCCCGAGCCGCGCAAAGGGAGAGCTCCTGGCTCTCGTCGGCCCCCCAGGTTTGCTTTCCTTTTTTTCTTGAAGGTGGGCCCTGAGGTCCACCGCCGCGAAGCCTGCGGCCGCCGGAAAACCCAAACCCGAGTGTCCCGAGACTAACCGGAAGTGCGGTCCCAGGCGGAGGGGCGGTGCCGGCGGCCGCCGGGGTAAGCGCGGCCCGCGGGGCCTGGGAGGGGCGCGGCCGCTGGGCCCGGGGGAGGGGAAGGAGGAGGGGCGCGGCGGGACCAGAACCAACACCCCCCTCGCCCTCTCCGGCCCCCCGGCCTGCGCTAGGGCACAGAAGCCCCTGCCGCTCGCCGCCGAGCGGGGTCCGGGACCCCCCTGACGGCGCGCACCGGGAGGCAGTCAATGAAAAGTTGAAAGAAGAGCAGCTCAGTACAGCTGTTCTCGGAGAGAATAATAGTAAACATTACCCGGCACTTTTCTAAGCGATCCATATCTCTCATAATGGGGAAAACCCAAGGACATTGAATGAAGTCCCCCCCATCTTTAAGACAGAGATTAGTTTTGTCGTACTCAAATATATATACAGAAGATTGTTAATCAATTCTTAACTGGTTTAGAAAACTGCATTATATATAATATTGTACTATATGCGCTTCTCAACTCCGTCTTGGGGTGTATAGTGGTAGAAGAATGGGTCCTTGACCTTAGAAGTTGCGATAATGCAAACAAAAAACAATTAGCAGAAAGAAAAGTCTAAACAAGTAAAACAGGACTCAGGGCTTCTTAAGAAGTTCAAGTTAGTCATTATCCAGAAGGATTCTTGATGTTTTGTCTAGTGCTGGTTGGGAAGGAAGTGATGGCTCCTGGTAGCTGCTACTTCTTGCAGGAGAAACAGAACGTAAGCAAATGTGGGAAGAGGGAAGATGTGCTTGAAGGATGACAACCAGACTGGAGAGTAAATGGGACCAATATTTAGACGTCCAGCTCCAGAAAAAATAAAAATTTCAGAAAAAAATTATAAATTTCGACATTATTGATTTTTCCTCTAGGAAAGGGAAGAATTGAGTGTTATGAATACTCATGGACTTGAGACCTTTTGAAGCCAAAAGGAAGACAGTCTTGAGTCTTCATTGTTATGGTAAGTGGCATACCAGGCTGTATGTTTCTATATAAATGTGGATGTTGGAGCAGGTGAGCAGAAGGGAGTACTGGTGGGAGAAGATAAAATGAAAAGGGGATTGATACTTTCTTACCTATTGAGATAGCAGAGTGATAAAACTGGATCCTATTCTACCAATGTGAGTGTATTTTCTACTCCTTTCCAACATACGTAGTCACAATAGGCTTGTAATAATTGCTTCTTGATTGATTTGCATCCAGAAAAAGGCAGTATGCCCACTGCTTAGGCTCCGTAGTTAGAAAATTGAAATTTAAATTGTGGCTGTGCTACTTACTAGCTGCTAGTTCTTGGGTAATTATTTAATTGCCATAAGCATCAGGTTTTCTTGTTAGTGCAAATATTGGTATTAATACTATCTTACAGAGTTCTTGGGAAGACTCCAGGAGGTAATCCATGCAGTCAATGAAAGGTAAATGAGGTAATGCCTCACCTCAGGTCTGACACAGTAAGCGTTAGCTATTTTTTAGATTAGTGCTTTATTGACTTTCCTTGTCCCATACACCCTTTAACTGTAGGAATAAACTTGAGCTTTGAAGTTCTATGCTCAGCTTCTCTGCTTGTGCCTGCTTATTCTGCACACTCTGACCCTAGCCATGGAAGAGAGAACCAGTCTCTTCCTAAGATGAGGTAGGAGAAACCTGTTAGAGGAGGGTCCTCTGGTGGACCAGCCAGGGCTACTTGCCTAATTGTTGCATTGCTATGGGGGCTCTAAGGAGTATGGTGGTCCTTTATTTTGCTGTGGTATTTATTCCTATTCTTCATTCATTCAACAGACATATTCTAGAGTCTAGGGATATTGCAGTGAACAAAAGAATAAGTCCTAATAGTGGAAATTATATTCTAGTAGGAGAGATAAACAAATTAACAGATACAAAATATATGCCACAATGTTGGAGGGTGAGAAGTGCTATGAAGAGAAATACAACAGGATAAGAGGACACAGCTGTTTTACATAAAGTAGTCAGGGTGTGCCTCCTTTTGAGGAATTAATTTTTTTTTTAATTTATTTATTTGACAGAGATCACAAGCAGACAGAGGGAGAGTAAGGGAAGCAGGCTCCCCACTGAGCAGAGAGCCTGATGCAGGGCTTGATCCCAGGACCCTGAGCTCATGACCTGAGCCGAAGGCAGAGGCTTAACCCACTAAGCCACCCAGGCACCCTGAGGAATTAATTTTAAGGCAGAAACTTGGATCGAATAAAGAAGCCAGCTACCTGGGGGAAGAACATTGCAGGTAGAAGGATCAAGTGCAAAAGTTCTGAGGTGGCTCGTGAGGCTAAAGATAGGTGGAGGTGCCACATTATATGGAACAGTGAGAACTGGGTTTTATTCTGAGTCTGATAGGAAACAGTTACAATATCTTGAACTAGGGAAGTGTCACAGTCTACTTTAAGTTTTGACAACCAGACTCTTTTCTAGGTGCTGACATCTAAAAGACTTAGGATAAGAAAACCATTTCCTGAATTGTTTAATTTTTTTTCTTCTTGGTGCCCCACAGTTTTTTGGCTCCTGAGGGCAAATATGATACCCTGGGCTGATGACTTTAGGGAGTACTGTGATTTCATTTACCAAGCTCTGACCAATCTCAGATCCTTAATTTCCACGCTGCTTTCCTTTTGACCTGAGCGGTAACCCACATTTTAAAAGACAAAGCTTCCATATACCAGCTTATACTCGCTATTTGTCCATATGCCTGCATATTTTCACTTAAGTGTGATTCTGAGTTTTTCCTTTTCCTCCTACTGTTTCTCCATAAATGTTTTTCTAGTTTTTGCATAATCTCCATATTCATCATTAACTGGCTGAGTAATTTTATTGTTTATGATTTAGTTGATTATTTTTTATGGATTTTGAACAAGGCTTTACCGAAGAGGTAGGTGCAGAGGAGGGACTCGATAAACAGGGCTTCTGTGTGTGTGAAGAAGGAATTCAGAAAATAATAGAACTTATCATTTATTGAGTGTTGAGACACAGGCACTGAGCTGAGTCCTTTGGTGGTGCTATCTAAGTTCTTGTGGCAGCTCCGTGAGGCATGTAATAGTATCTTACCTATTTTTTCAAAGGGGAAATTGAAGCTGAAGGAAGTTAAGTAATTTACTCAAGTTCTTACAGCTACCGAGGAGTATAGTGGGAATTTGAACCATAATCTGATTCTAGAATTTGAACATTTAGTTTTAACTAGCATAATATATCGACTCTCAGCTACCACGCTCTTTAAAAAACAAACTAAAATAGCTTTTATTTTTGAAATAATTTCAGACTTAGGAAGGAGTTGCAAAATAGTACAAGGGATGTTCATATACCCTTTGCCCATGGTTCTAAATGTTAACGTTTTACTATATTCGCTTTATGATTCTGTGTATCTCTGTATACACATACCTATGCGTATACACGTTTTTCTCTGAACCTTTTGAGAGCAGGTTATAGACATAGTGATTCTTCTCAGACTATGAGAGAACTAAGCCCTAAAGTCTTATGACATACTAAGCCCTAAAGTCTTAAGAGAATTAAGCCCTAAAGTCCTAAAGTATGTAATGAATTAACTTCTCTCCTATGCAGGTACAGTGCTCCTAGCTACATACCTAGCTACATTCTTGGAAGAATTGAAAAAATAGTTACTTAAATCATTTTCTATAAGGCTTCATTCTTCCTAGAACACCAGTTAAGATTGCCTGTCTTAAAATACACAACAGTTTATATCCTAAAAACAAGGCTGCTCTCTTATTACAGTTATCAAAGTCAGGAAATTAACACTCATATAATACTATTGTCTAATTCACATTGAGCCAGTTCTTTCACAAGTGTCCTTTTCAGAAAGGAAAAGGAAAAAACAGGTTTTTGTTGGCCAACATCAATCCATAGTCCCCATTTCATTTAAATGTCTTGTTTTCTTCTTCGTGGAATATATATCCTCAGACTTTGTCTTTCATAACCTTGACTTTTTTTTTTTTTTTTTTAAGATATATTTATTCGAGGGGCACCTGGGTGGCTCAGTGGGTTAAGCCTCTGCCTTCGGCTCAGGTCATGATCTCAGGGTCCTGGGATCGAGCCCTGCATCAGGCTTTCTGTTTGGCAGGGCACCTGCTTCCCCCTCTCTCTCTGCCTGCCTCTCTGCTTACTGCTTACTTGGGATTTTTCTTTCTCTGTCAAAT